AGGCTGGGTCCCACACCACGTGATGCCCCCATGTGCGCATGACCCTGCCTACTCACTGCTCTGCTATATTATCTCCATGAAAAGGGGTGTGAAGCTTCCTCTGACCAAATGTGCTTGAGCTGCTCTCCGACAGGAGTTGAAGTTTCAGTCCGAAAACAAAAATAAACTTTCACGGGACTTGAAGTCCCGTGAAGTTTATTTGAACTTTGAAACTTCACGGGACTTCAAGTCCCGTGAAGTTTAGCAGCTTAACAAAATGACTGCTAAACTTCACGGGAGTTGAAGTCCCGTGAAGTATGAAATCTTTTTTCGCAAAAACCGACCTGGTTTCAGCGCTGGAGCTGAAACCAGGTCGGTTTTTACAAATAAATTCAAAATGGGTCTTTTTTTGCGATTAAATGTCCAAATAGGACGGTTTTGAAAATTTGTCCGTCTTCGATATCAAGTGAATAGGTAAGCTCATCAAGTTCCTAGCATTCTAAACTGCAGGGAAAAACAGTCTTCTTGATCCACTTCAGATTGAGCATCTCGCTCTTTCAAATCTCAAGGGGAGAATCTACCCTCCCTCAAAACTCTATCCCAAGGGAGAATCTACAGCTTCCTCAAAACTCTACCTCTACTGCCCCTTTAGAAACTCTTTCTCATTGTAGATGCTTGTAGGCTTTTCCTCACGAAGCAAAAAGGGGTCTTGGCTTCTTTTTAATTTTTGTGAGTGGATGTGACTTTAGCAGTTTCTTATTTGACTTTCCTTGCTTTCTTCTTGTCATTCCACAAACTGAAAGCATATTTTGCACAATGAACCCTTAGGTGTCGTTTGGCAAGGGTTTGAGAGAGGAGGGTTATAGAGAGAAGTCAGCATACTTAACCAATTATGATGAATTAAAAATATTGTAATTCTATTTGGATTATATTAGTTAATATGAAGTTAATATGAAGGGTTAACTTTTTTTGTTTCACAAAAAGGGTTAACGAAGTTAATCCCTCTATTTGTTTAACCACTACTAACTTTAACCTTATGCATAGTAAGAATATTTTCTAATAATTATTATTATACTATAAGTTTAACTACAGTCTGCATTCATCTAAACCATAAAATATTCTCATTTTTGTACTGTTTAAATAAATGGTTGTTGATAAGGCTAATAAATATAAAGCAATTTAAATTATTATTTAATAATTAATGATTATATAGGAATAAAACAATAACAATATACTACCATATTAGCATGAAGTTAAATGTAAAGAGGGATAACTGGATTTAAAATTAAAAGGCTTTTAATTTATATTTAATCTCAATAGAAAGAAAATTTGCTATTAAAGAACATAAGTAATAATTTTCTCAAAAAAACTATAAAAATTTCATTTTGTCAAAAATATAGTTAATAGTAGAGGGTCATTGTACAATTTAAATATTTATAGGAGATTGTCTGCTAGACTGGATATAATAGCATTACAAAGCTATACTTACAACTACTATATGACTAGAAAACAAAGATAATACTCCAATTCTCGATTAGAAAAGTATAATGGGCTGAGAGTACAAAAAGTTACAGGAGTTAAATCTAAATCTTCCCACTCTTGCACCTTTCCCTCCACCCAACTATCTATGCGTATACCTCCCCCTCCAACAAGTTATTTCCCACTAGTCTGTCCTCTGCCCATTTCTTTTCAAATGACTGCTACTGCCCCCTACATGAGGAGGCCGGGTAAGTATACTCTACATTCTCATGCGAAATTCTAACCCTACCTAATGACAGGTTAAATACAGGTTTCAGTCATGTGAGGGTTTGTCAGTCCTCAGGAGAATTTTGGTAATAAGGAGGTTAATGAGGGATTAAACCATCTTAACACCTATACTAATCCGTTGCCAAACAAAGCCTTAAAGAATAGGAATATTTCTTGGCTTTCGAGCCCTTGCATCTCTCTCATGGGTTTTTGAATCAAGTTGGCAACTTTGTGTGTCTACTCGACTTTCTCGTATCTTAGTATACTCTTGCACAACATTGACTTTTCTACTGTTGCATAGCACGGTCTTATCTCCTTTGAAAAAGCTTATTTTTATCGATGCCACTCATGAAGACTCATTTTCCTTGTTGCTCACGATTATCTTTTATCTTAATTTCACTTGCAAAGCTGCTTTTTCTCAATGTTATTATCAACTCTACAACTCTGTCGATGATTGTTGATGTGATTGGGTCCCTGTAGCAAAGCCCTTATTCAAAGAAAAATTCTCCAATGACCCAAAATATGGGACCAACAGGGGGGACAGGTGAGGTGTCCCCCTCCTATTGCATAATGAGCTGGTCATCATTAATGGCTCGTTATACAATAGGAGGGGGACACCTCACATGTTCCCCTGTTGGTCCCATATTTTGGGTCCCTGTAGCAAAGCCTTTTGGGAAAAGTTGTGTTTCCCTAATCTCTGCACTCCAGCTTGTGCGAGGTTTTTGGAGGACATCAAGTGATTTGTTGTTTTTAATAGATAAGTCTAAATTCAATCTATTAGTCAAATATAGTACGTCTCATATGATTTAGGACTCTCATGCATCGTATGTTTCCTTTTCGTATTAGAGTCTTAAAAGAGATTCTACAAAGTGAATAATTATGATCTTCTCCATATCAAGAGAATTGTTTTCTCTTTCTTTTAGTTTCAGCACCTTTCACCAAAGAATACAATTTCAAAAGATAGAAGAAACTCTAGAAGTGAAGCCTCATTGCATTAAATCCTCGACGAGTTCTCCCTTTAGTTTTTCCATTTCAAATAGAGAAAAGGACTGTAACAATTTATAACAACGAAAAGTAGCTCCCAATGAACAAATTTTCAAATACAACATAATTATCAAGTCCAAATGCAAAACTTCATCAATTAGACATACTAATACATCATATCAAGCAATTAGTAATTGCAGCAATTGCTATTAAAAATCAAACTTTTTAGGAAGAAATCTGACCTGAGCCCGAAGATAAAGCCGGCGCTCGTAGAAATCCTCCCTCCCTGAACATAATGGCTCGTATCCCTATTCCAATTAAACCCAAGAAAATTAGAATCAAATCATTCACAGCTTCACACGAAATCAACAAAACCCAAGAAACCCATTTGGGTTTTTCGCCAAGAAACGATCTTTTCATCACAAAAACTGAATAACAATAATAATAAGGTAGATCAGCTCTCATTGCTGCTCCCTGATTATGGGTTTTTGATTTATGGTTTGCTGGGTAGAAGGAAATGAAGATATTAAACAGAATGTATTTCTTTTTTATTTTTATTTTCTCCTTACATAATATGCAAGTGTACACAAGAGCACGAGGGGGTCGGTTAAATGCTCCGGTTAAATTATGTCGTGCTTGGATGGAAGGCAG